GGGGTGAGTCGTCCTACCCCCCAATGGTTCTGCTTTGGGTCTCTGTGGCCTCTTGTGTGGGTACCCCACATGGTGGGAGCTGGTCTTCCGGAGGTTGGTGAGGCTGCAAAGGGGTAGTCCCTTTGCAGCCTCACCAACCTCCGGAAGACCAGCTCCCACCATGTGGGGTACCCACACAAGAGGCCACAGAGACCCAAAGCAGAACCATGCCGCACACCCACAGCACCCCTGAGAACACTTACCCAAGAGACTGAACTGCCTCACACGATGACGACCAAAGCGGCCCCCAGTCAGACACCTTCTCCAGCTATGACACCCCTGCGCAAGCAGGGCATTGGCTGAAACGGTCACATCATCGACGCATCAGCCCTCCACGGGGAGGTGCAAGCAGATCGGATGACTGTAGCATAAGCTCTACACATAAGCTCTACACATTCGCATGCTGGGGCTCTCTCCTGCAGATGCCGTAGATCTGATTTTGCCTAGTATGCACCCCTTACATGCCTCTGTGCTACTTAACTAGCTGGACCCTAAGACATGTGCCTGGTGGGACGTGCTAAAATTTTTACAATACCCTCAGTAGATATACCTTGTAGACCAGCATGTCTCCATATTATACCCTACTAGTAATCTCACTAATAATTGCACTAAGCCATACATACCTTTGACAAATGTGCCTAGCCTCAGTATACTACAGAGCATTAACCCAATCTAACTTGAACCTTCAAAGCATGTATGTTACACACAGTGGTCAGTCCGCTGACCTAGTCAACACTTCCTAATGCCAAAAAGATCTATGTTTAGCTCGTTCTCTAAGAATCAATTCTTCATAATCCTGCTTCTTAGCCTGTTTTGCCATTTATTTTCTTATATTTTTCAACACATCTAGATAGGCGATGATTTCTAAGAGGCTTCTCCCTATACCCCAGACATGTTCGACAAGCCTGTTATATTACAACTTTACTTAAAAATGTGTGCAGTAATCGTATATGCCATGTACCTGTTAAACTGTGTGTATTACAATTCTTGTTACTGCTGTCGTGGCATAGCAAGAGCGTATGTTCATTATTTGCACCACAAAAATAAAGAATTAAAAAACAAACAAAAAAAAAGCAAAAAAAACTTATATGATCCCACCCACAGAATTGGGAACAGAAATAGCACAATACTTCCAGGACAATGACAACACAGACGTATCGCGCAATACCCTGTGGCAGGCACATAAATCCGTCATACGGGGATTGTTAATAAAGAGAGCATCTTTCTTAAAAAAGAAAGCCAACTTGCAACTATTAACCTACCAAAGGGATCTCCAACGGGCTATGACACAGAACCAAATCGCACCCACAACGGAGCTAAGGGACCACATACAACTAACGAAGCACATACAACAACTGTCCTTAGACCGTTATCACCTGAAAAGACTCAAAGCACAGAACTACACACAGGGAAATAAAGCAGGCAAACTATTGGCACAGAGAATTAAGACCCAACAAGCAGCCCAGAAAATAGCCTACATGATATCTCCCACTGGACATAAGATAGTGGCGCCTAAAGACATAAGCAACGTAAACTTCTGGCATAAACTTCTTAGTGATAAAAACACTGAAGATAAATGGAAACTATTCAAACAAATATTAGAAAGGTACATTTCTCAGTATGTACCATTGGGTAATAAATATAAAAGAAACAAATTAAAACCAATGTGGCTTAGTAGAGAAGTAAAACAAGAGATTAAAAATAAGAAAAGGGCATTTAAAGCATTTAAATCAGACAAATCAAAGGCATCCTATTTAAGATATAAGGAAGCCAATAACGCTTGCAAAAGGGCAATTAAAGTGGCTAAACTAGAAAATGAGAAATTGATAGCTAAAGAATGCAAAACCAACCCCAAAATTTTTTTCAAGCACATCAATTCTAAAAAAACAAAAAATGAAAGTCTAGGTACACTTGAAACAGAGTAAAAAATATCCAGGACCTTATAACATATATCTAATAAACCATAAGATATATTAATAGAAAATATAGATAATAGTATTGACACATATATAATCTAAAACACAGAAAAAGAATTACTGGATAATCGCTATGTATAAAAGTCCAAATTGTAGATGCGCAAAGGATCAGCCCAAATAGGAAAGCAAATAGTTATAGTAGATATAGTCCTTGAATATGTATCATAAATAACCTCTGATCTGTTAGGATATCCTTTACAGAATCAAATGAGGTTTTTATGAATTCCATCTACATTCATATGAGAAGGCCTTATGTGGCGTAACCAACCTCGCCACTATGCACTGGAGAAGCCTGGTTGCCAGCCTCCTGCCATGTGACTATGGCCCCTGGGATGTATTGCCCTTTAAAGACATGATTTGGGCATAATGGATTTGTGTTGTGCTGCTGCTAGCCCTTTTAAGAACCATCTGGGGACATACTGTGGAGTTACTGGGTGGCCACCATTTCCTGTATCAGAAGCACATGGTGAGAACAATGGATGGCGGCCATTTTAACTCACAGACACTGTGTGGACTTTTCAACACGGTGCCATCTCGCCAGTATTTGTTGCACAGAGACATCGTGCGGTGGTTTTGGACTATACAGCAGGGGACACATTATACAGTGATTGTTTTTTATTTAGCCTGTATATGTTCTGCAGAATCTGCATTAAACTGTATTTTCCAAAGTACTGAACGGATCTGGGTGAATTTTGGATATGTGGTTCACCCAGATCCCCCAGTTCCAAGGATATACTTTTTATGGGGTTATTGCATGTTTTGGGGTCCCTGTGATGTGTTTTATGAAACTGTATTTCTCTGGCTGTGATAATTAGATTACCCATTGTGTTCAGTAATCATATCACAGCCAGAGGGGAGGATTTTGTGTGGGAGTGTCTGGGTGTATTGTATGGATTGATTGGCTGTTTTGTAACGCCCTGTGGGCTGTACTATGTTTGTGGATTGGGAATAAAAGAGACTGTATGTGACAGTACAGGGAGTTCCTGTTTTAACTCTCAAAGTGAAGTGTCGTCTCATTATTGGAGGAAGGATTTATTGTATGCTGTTCCAGTTTGACTGCTAGGAGAGTAAACCTATTCATATGGTTCCTATTCAACTGTCTACAGCATTCAAATGCTTGGGAGAATTTATTTGTTTCTCCGGTTCGGTGATTGTGGTGTCTGCCAGAGTGCTTGGAGTCCTCAGGAAGCGCTAGGAGCATCCTTCAACGGAGGTACCCAGTCGGGGTGCCAGGCGCTCCGTTACACCTTAGAATAAACATAAAATATTGTAATCAAACCTAGGCTTGTTAGTATCGCAAACTAACAGCCTAATTGATAGTTTCAAACAGCAATCTGGGCCAACTGCCAAAAAAATCGCAACAGTAGCAGTCGGAATAAATGTTAAGATGTTCCGTGTTGGTACCAGAATGATACTTTAAAAAGTGTCCATCTATATCCAAAATGACTTGTAAAAATTAGTATTGGTTAAAAATAAGACTTTATTCACATCAAAAAATAATAATAATAGGTAGTTCTAGTAAAACATAAAATACTGGGTAGAAAATATTCTACAAAGATATTCCAACATGAGAGAAGGTAAAAAAATAATGAAACCTGAACAGTTCGTCTGGATGGCTGAGGATGGTGATATTCCCCTTCCAAGTTGATTCTGCAGCAGCCGGTGAGGACGGCGTCCGCGTTCTTTGGAACTTCACCTCTGACCTCACATCAAGAGGTGATCCTCCAAAATGACGTTGTGTTGTGAATGCAGATGTCTGTAGCTTGCCAGAAGTCTGTTCTCTCCAATCCGTCTGTATGGATTTCACAGCCTTACGCGTTTCATAGGGTACTGCCCTATTTCATCAGAGGCATGTCTTAACCTTAGTCCATATTAGTGTATATATACCCAATATCCTACAAGTCATCAATTTACTTATAATTACATATAAAATCGGAATTGGAGAGAACAGATTTCTGGCAAGCTACAGACATCTGCATTCACAACACGACGTCATTCTGGAGGATCACCTCTTGATGTGAGGTCAGAGGTGAAGTTCCAAAGAACGCTGACGCCGTCCTCACCGGCTGCTGGAGAATCAACTTGGAAGGGGAATATCACCATCCTCAGCCATCCAGACGAACTGTTCAGGTTTCATTATTTTTTTACCTTCTCTCATGTTGGAATATCTTTGTGGAATATTTTCTACCCAGTATTTTATGTTTACTAGAACTACCTATTATTATTTTTTGATGTGAATAGTCTTATTTTTAACCAATACAAATTTTTACAAGTCATTTTGGATATAGATGGACACTTTTTAAAGTATCATTCTGGTACCAACACAGAACATCTTAACATTTATTACGATTGCTACTGATTTTTTTGGCAGTTGGCCCAGATTGCTGTTTAAAACTAACAAGCCTAGGTTTGATTACAATATTTTATGTTTATTCTAAGACCTTCTCATATGAATGTAGATTGAATTCATAAAAACCTCATTTGATTCTGTAAAGGATATCCTAACAGATCAGAAGTTATTTATGATACATATTCAAGGACTATATCTGCTATAACTATTTGCTTTCCTATTTGGGCTGATCCTTTGTGCATCTACAATTTGGACTTTTATACATAGCGATTATCCAGTAATTCTTTTTATGCATTTTAGATTATATATTATATGTGTCAATACTATTATCTATATTTTCTATTAATATATCTTATGGTTTATTAGATATATGTTATAAGCTCCTGGATATTTTTTACTTTGATATTTATGCATATGTATGGTATTTGATGAAACCCTAGCTTTCCAGTTTCAGAGCTTTTTCTCACTTTCTGTCTTATTCCCTCTTACATATTTTCTAATAGACCAATTCTTTTTGACTATTAGGATTTAATTTTATTACACTTGAAACAGAGTTGGGTTTATTAGCTAATGAAGACCAGGAAAAAGCAGAAATTTTAAATAACTATTTTTCTTCAGTATATATTAATGAGGATCCTATGGCAAGAGATATGCAAATGATTGCTGCAAAAAACTTGCAAATAACTTGTGATTGGATAACTCGAGACAAGGTGCTACAGCTATTAAAGAAAATTAATGTAAATAAAGCTCCCGGGCCTGACAGTATTCACCCACGAGTACTTAAGGCGCTAAGTGGGGAAATAAGTGAACCTCTGTATTTAATTTTTCAAGATTCTTTTGTTTCAGGTGTTGTACCGGAGGATTGGAGGAAGGCAGATGTTGTTCCTATATTTAAAAAGGGTTCAAAATCCTTGCCTGGAAATTATAGACCTGTGAGCTTAACTTCTGTAACTGGGAAAATATTTGAAGGACTATTAAGGGATAATATTCAGGAATTCATTAGGAAGAACTTTGTTATTAGCAATAATCAGCATGGTTTTATGAAACATAGGTCATGTCAAACTAACCTAATTGCATTCTACAAAGAAGTAAGTAGAAGTATAGATCAGGGTGTTGCAGTGGATGTGATCTACTTGGATTTTGCCAAGGCATTTGATACGGTTCCTCACAATAGGTTAGTCTTCAAACTAAAATAAATTGGTCTAGATGAATATTCTTGTTCTTGGGTAGAACATTGGCTTAAGGATAGAGTACAACAAGTTGTAATTAATGGTAAATTTTCAGGCTGGACAAAAGTGGTAAGTGGTGTCCCTCAGGGTTCTGTTTTGGGACCACTTCTATTTAACATATTTAAAAATGATCTTGAAATAGGCATTGAAAGCCATGGATCAGTGTTTGCAGATGACACAAAACTTTGTAAAGTAATAAAATGGGAGCAGGATATTGCTTTGCTGCAGAGAGATTTGGATAGATTGGGGGACTGGGCACTAAAATAGCAGATGAAATTTAACAGAGAAATGCAAAGTTATGCACTTCGGGGGTTAAGAATGCACAAGCAACTTACACACTAAATGGTAGTGAATTAGGCATAACCACACACGAGAAGGATTTGGGAATTGTTATAGACAACAAATTAGGCAGCAATATGCAATGTCAATCTGCAGTTGCTAAGGCCAGTAAGATTTTGTCATGTATAAATAGGGGCATAAATTCTCGGGCTGAAAATATAATTTTGCCTCTTTATAAATCGCTGGTAAGACCACACCTTGAATATGCTGTGCAATTTTGGGCGCCTGTTCTAAAGAAGGATATCATGGCACTGGAGAGGGTCCAGAGACGAGCTACAAAATTGTTAAAAGGAATGGAACATTTTAGTTATGAAGAAAGGTTAAAAAAATTAAATCTGTTTAGTTTGGAAAAACGGCGTCTGAGAGGGGATATAACTTTATACAAATATATTCAGGGCCAGTACAAACCTTTATCTGGAAATCTATTCGTAAACAGGGCTATACATAGGACACGAGGTCACACATTTAGGCTGGAAGAAAGGAGATTTCATCTAAGGCAAAGAAAAGGTTTTTTTATAGTAAGAACAATAAGGATATGGAATTCTCTGCCTGAAGAGGTGGTTTTGTCAGAGTCCATACAGATGTTTAAACTGAAATTGGATAAATACTTACAAAAACATAACATACAGGGATATAATTTCTAATTAGTGGGGTAATAGCTGCTTGATCCAAGAAGACATCTGACTGCTATTTTGGGGTCAAGAATGAATTTTTTCCTAGTTTGTGGCAAAATTGGAAGTGCTTCAGACCAGGTTTTTTGCCTTCTTTTGGATCAACAGCAACAACATTTGTGAGGAAGGCTGAACTTGATGGATGCAAGTCTCTTTTCAGCTATGTAACTATGATATCTCCCTTTGGACATAAGCAACGTATTCGCTAAATACTATGAATCGCTATACAACCTCCGAAATGACAAAAACACACCCCAGCCTCAAAAACCCAACATAACCAGGTTCCTAGATAAAATCAATGTACCCAAACTCACCCCCACCCAACAGACCAGCCTATCGGCCCCTATCACCGAGACGGAGGTGTTGAAGGCAGAGAAAGCCCCGGGCCCGGACGGTTTGCCAACTGCTATTATAAACAATTCCAACAAGCCCTGGCCCCACACACCACAAACGTGTTCAACGAAGCTGTACACAGGCGAGAATTGCTCCTGGAGGCACTGAGAGCGCACTACCCAAACCCGCCGCCCATCCACAAAATTTTCGTCCAATTTCGTTACTAAATACAGACACGAAACTCTTTGCAAAAATATTCACCCTCAGACTGGGAGACATACTCCCACTCATAATCAAAAACGACCAGGTGGGGTGTGTGAAGGGATGCCAGGGAGGGGACAATACAAGAAAGGTCATAGACATCATCCTCAGTGTCCAAAGACAACACGTAGAATGCGTGACACACTCGCTTGATGCAGAAAGGGCCTTCGACAGGCTGGGTTGGAGGTTTCTAGAGGCGGTTCTCCGCAAATTTGGGATGCCGGAGGCCTTCCGCTCGGCGGTCGGGGCCTTATATAACAAACCATCCGCACATCAGAATCCTTCCCCATAACAAACGGAACGAGGAAGGGGTGCCCGCTCTCCCCCTTGCTATACGTGCTAGCGCTGGAACCGCTAGCGTTGGAACCGCTAGCGGAGATAATCAGAGCAAACAAGGCCATACATGAGGAAACCGTAGGAGGTAGGGAATTCAAAATAAATCTATTTGCAGATGATATTTTGCTAACTTTGACTCAACCCCAAATCTCACTGCAAAACTTAATGGACAATATCAACGAATACGGCCTTAACTCATATTACTGTCACCGGTGGCGGTCTGGTGCCCGGGACCCAGACACTGTCCGGGAGGCGGTGCGAGGACCAGGTCCCAGTATGCCTGAAGTGGAGTGGGGAGTCTCAGCGTGGTAATGGACTAACAGGGCCTGGTGCAGAGTAACCGCACGCCCTCCGATGTTGAGCACTAGCATTTGTGCGGCCACAAACCAAGACCCTGTTGCAGCTTAGTGGAAGCCAGAGCATATGAATGCTAAGATGTATGCAGTACATAATTATTGCAAATAGCTGACATGTTAACCAATTTTAAACAGACTAACCAGCTACCAGATACAATCTGTATCATAAGCCCTAGGTAAATATTATTTCCAAAAGTTTTCTTCCTCCTTCGTCCACGGAAGTTGGCGTATACACTCAAAGTGGGAATAATACCTATCCCCCATCCAAGGACCCGGGTCTAGGATTACCAGTCCACCCGATGATCTGGGGCCAGGCAAAAACTCATATTTGAGGAAAAAGCACATCTGGGGAAAACCTGAGTGGGGGCCGCGATCGTGTTAGACATGTCATCCCCTCACAGTTGACACCACTTATGACTTATAATACCTGCACCTGTGAGTACATAGCTCGGGTATTGGGAGGAATTGGGAAACACTTCTTAAATATTAATTCATGAGATAAATTATAGTCTAGCTTGAAATTCTGACAATAATCACAACCAGGACCTTGCATCCTATATCTTTTAACCATTTCCCTATTCCAAAGGTCCAGTCAAAACCAGTCATATGCCTGGATAATGACCAAACAGATGTAATTGCAAAATACTTATTGCATGGTCAGCCAGAGAGATTGGTGTGTAGTCCCAAAAATCAGGCGGCACAAACACTCCAGGACGGTCTCTGCAATCATACAAACACAAGGATCAATACAACATCAATTAATTAATTACCTAGGCTAAAACTTAAATTAGAGATTAAGGTTAAACCCTTAATTTATGTAACATGTACTTCTCTTATATTTGCTTATATTTTATGCAATCTGTCTTCTATGAAGTTTTACATAATACCCCTTTGGAATGCCTTTGTACGGATGAGAGAAGCACTCACTCTATAGAAATGCTTGTTAGGATGAATATTAAAACACTAACATACATATGGGGATAATTCCCAATAAAACTCTGTTCCTAAATTTGAACCTTGATTTGATACTCAAAATTAATTACGTTAATAATCCAGAATAATTCAATACTCTTGGATTAACACCTAAAACTATATAAAATATTAAAAACATGAACCATCTGTGTCTTAGGCTGGGTTTTTTTGGGGTGTGGGTATAGATTGGAAGCTGTGGTTGATATTGAGGAATCTGTGGGGGTGGGTTTGGGCACTCATTTTTCCAGTGACCCTGCTATCCACAATTAGAACAGTGTGTTCCACCAATGCTGAAGTTGCTACCTCTACAAAAAAGTTAGACCCTTTGACCAAATCCTCTACCTCTGCCTTTAATTTCCCAAGAAATTCATTTGGGGGTCAAAAAGGGCCAGTCACAGACCAACAAGGAACAAAAGTGAACAAGGAGGAAGCATATTCCATATGCGGGTCGGGATTACCTCTTTCTGTACCCCTCTTTGTGTACCACATAGATATAATATTAATAAGCTTTTAAAGGTTTTATAGAAAGCAAGGTTGTCTAGGGGTATATACATCGACAATGAAAGCATAGCCTTCATATAGGGATTGCAATACTGACAGTCTGTGTCATGAGCGTAATGCAGACATGCGGTTAGGTACTTTTCCATTGTTATAATATATTGAAAACACTAAGACCTTGCAAATTTTTTTTTAAACGCATATTGCTTCCTGTACCTGGTGCCGTGCAAGGATGTAGTTGGGACATATTTCAAATTGAGTATCAAAAAGTTTTTTATACGCTTAACAAGAAAACAAGTTTAACCTGTTAGTGCATACTTTGGATAGCCTCTTTGCATAATTTGGCACCTAGTGAGATTATTATATTATTTATTAATCCTCTTCTGGATCTGCAAAATGTTTTCAATTTACCCATACAAATATAATACAGTAGTTTAGGAGATTAAAATTACCTCACTTATAAATTTCAGAAATTGTCTAATCTCTATTAAAAATACCATTTTATTATTGCCCCATAATTAATGAGGCATACTAGATGCGTCTTACTTTGACACAAAAAATGCAATATACTTTAAAAGTAGAATTTACTCTGAGCTGGACAATACTCCCCTATTAGAACTCCTTTATGAGGGAGAGACATCTTGTCCATTCAATCCTTTTTATCAGTAAAAGAATGACTTTCAGGATTTATCAATTTGCAAATGGAAACATGGATCCACGATTTGAACAGCAGAAGTTTGCGGGGCTCCTTTCACGTGGGATGTAACAAGCACTTTTCTTGCTCCAGGAGCGATAGCATACAATTATTTCATTCTAGCCGGCTGGACAGCATTTCACCTTTTGTAAAAACACTAAATGCTTGCGTTAATGATATGCAAATCACTCTGCTAGTTAAACTTCTACACAATGGACAATAAAATACATAAAACACATAACACACCAATTAATTTCAAACCATATAACTCATTCTCAGCATTCAATGTAATATTACACGTCTCACAAAACAGACATCTCACAAAACAGACGTAGTAGAAACACATAATGGATACACAGCAGATATGCCAATACAGAAAACACATTCATGGGCATGCAACTACACACTCTATGTCCCTCCTAGGAAACACGGGTAGACACAATATGAAAGCAGTCTTAAACTAACACCTCCAAATCTCCATTCCCATATAGCTATATCAGACCACAACACAGAGCCTCTCTGTGCTCATAGAACTACTCCAACTACTCTTGGCCAAAATGCTAGTATTCAACAGCTAATAAAACTGTTATTTGCTAGGTTATTTGGCTGGCATTCTTATCACTATCACTAGACTGAGACAAACTGATTCAAATATAATTTTTAAAACAACACAGCAACATGTAAATGAAACCAATTTCCAGTTAAGCTGCACACTTCACACATTATCACAGTCACCATTTACACAGAATAAACAGTTAAGAGCTGCATTCAGAACATATTATTGTAAGGTATACCAATTTTAGTTTGCATTAGATTTATTTTAGGGATTCTTATGTATACGTGTTTTTTTTCTTAATTCTATAGTATTGTATATAAAGAAAGGATCCATTTATATAGCGCGCTCATAACTCAAATATTTGTATGAAACTTCCATTAACTAATCTGAGATGATACTGCATCAACTTAAATCTTATAGAAATTGAGCAAACATCTGGACCAGATTACACAGACATGGTTTCACCTGAATCTTTCAGAACTCTCAGAGACTTAAAAAAATGTATACTATGCCATGTTAAAAGTGTGACAGAACCATCTGCCTGCTTGTATTTTAGTTGCATTCGTCTGTTTGTATCCCGTTCGTATGAATGGCTG